CCCGCCATGTTGGCTAACTTGCAAAAATGCAATCGAGGATACCGTGGAGGGATGAAGGGAACACACGGTCGACCCACAGATCGTCGTCTTTATTGTGTACTTCAACGCTACCCAGGATCTCGGGCCGAAATGTTGCAAGAAGTGCAACACGCACACGGACAACATTATGCGTTTCTTGTCTTGCACACCCCTGCTTGGATTAATATGCTCGCTTTGGTCCGTGATCTGGATCGCACTTATCCCCATTGGCAACTCACACGACAGTTGGGTCGTAGTCGTAAAGTGTTTGCTCGTGCCGCAAGCAGATCCAGATCAATGTTGGGGTTGAATCAAATTCAACCTATCCTGAGCCCGCTTGTCCAATAACCATCACCTCTGCTGTACACACACACACATGTACACAAATATCCTTCGGTATACACCCTTCTCACCCATACATTCTTGCAAGGCGTTTTGCTTCCTCATTCGGCGAGAACTTAAATTCGTCGTTTGTGAAATATACAAACGCGCTCACTTCTGTCTGCTTTCTTTATGTGGACCAGGTGATGCGTTGAAGAGGGAGGCGAATTGAAGGGGATAGAACAACTGTAATACTTCCCTCCACCACACACAGAGACAACTTGTCCATCAGTTTTCAGAAAGTGCGAAGCTACCAATCGACAGGTTTCTACCCGGGCGGTTTTCGTTCCGATCTAAAGATGATCATTTGACCGCTTTGTTTCATTCCTTCTATTACTAGGCTTCTCGTAAAATTCTAAGCTAATCTAAATAGATCGATTGTGAGATGGTAAGGGCCCGTTGATAACCAAATCATGAAAATTCTGGATATTATCTGTGAAGTGTACGAACAAAGTTTGAAAAGGGGAGTAATATTCACCAGCTCACTAGTTTCGGTCACCATTTCGTCTTGCAAGTCACGTGATTACAGATATCGAAAGAAGCATGTAAAACACTATATGTTGTTCTTGGTCATTCGTGTATCAGTAGGGTTTCTTTCTTTCAATACAGACGTGTAGTCGTCAATGTACTTTGGACTACCGTGTTTTCGCTTGATTTGTGTTTTTATTGACCAATCAATGTACGAATTTCTTTACTTATCTAACTTTATCGTTGTATCGGTCACTTAAAAACTATCTTGCATATTATCCCTTCAGTAATGTGTCCTTATTATAGCAGGTAGTTGGTCGAAAACTATTTAGGATAAGTTCAGAACACGTAACATGAAAGTGCAATTATCGACACATCTTTTCATCTTAACGAGCATTGTTAGCTCAACAGCCATATTGTCTGGCTACTAAAGATATCTAGCAAAGTAAGGAATGATACAATGCACAAAATGATAAAATAACCACTTGGTTTGTGATACTTTATATTTGAGATATCTCATCAAACCATCTTTTCGGTAGGTCCGTGATGAAGATAATGATACATGAACCCACTGATGCATTTTCCATTTTTGAATTCACTGAGACCGAACCGCGATTAACAAATCACAGGAATGGCGAGATAATATCAGTGACCACTTACAGGTGTGTGACACGATGAAAAACTGTACACTCAATACATGCTGTTCGAGAGTGATTGATGTGCAGTTTTCTCCGCATGGCTTCAAACATGCAGTGAATCCTTCGTTGACTCTGAAGCTGGCGTCTGTTTCCATCAGTACCTTTGTAATGACATACCAGTAGTTCCCCAATCGGACAGTTCCGGTCTTAAAGCGATCAACTATGCTTTTTCGTGTTCTGGTTTTTGTGGCTGCTCATTTGGATCAAACAAACGGATGTGAATGGAATGTTGGGATCATAGTCAAAGTGAAATTAGAGGATTCGTATTCATGCCAATACATCTCAATATATATCACTACTTGGGAATAAGATTGTCATGGGAAAATAAAATAAAATAAAAACATAGATTCTACTAAAACCGATTTCATCGTGAGACCGGAAATCGGGTTCACC